TGCCACTTATTTATTTGAATTTATATTCTGTTTTTCCATCTATTTTTGAATTCCATTAATAATTATCGTTCACGTTATTTATTTATCATTTATATTCATTACATAATAACTACATGTTCACTTGAATTAAATTGAAATCACAATTACAAATGAAACGAATTGTAAATCCGCATAAAAACGAAACGCTTGCATACAAGCTGCCTTCCAAAATTCATTTGATCCGCCACTGGAAACGTTCACTGGTTTGCGAGACTCGTCGTAAAGTCCGAGGTTCGAATCCGAACATTCTCTCTCGTAAAAAAATCAATCAAACCAGAAATAGATTGAAGCGAGACAGTTTAATCAAACGGTACGAGCGAGAAAGAGATAGAGTGTAAAATCGGCTCGAGATCGTAGTTGATGAGATTTGTCGTTTGAAAAGGTCGTTAATTACTTCGGTAATTGACGTACTTCCGGCCACGAAGACTATGATCACGATTTGATCTGAGGGTTTTCGGAACGTCCACTCGTCAATTTTGACCTGGACCGTGGAAGAGGCGAGAGTGCGTGAAATAGTTTTCTTGTGTCGCGGTGTGTTTTAATTGCCTAAAGTTCATCAGTTAGGTCAAAGTTGACGTGCGGTCAATTTTTGTGTGTGCGTACGTAGAGAAAAGGATTCGCTTCTAGCGATATACGGAAGAAGCTCGGCACACCGCATCTCGAGATAAAGCGCGACGCGTCGGAAGGAAACAAACCGTTTCGACAGAGCGGCCATTTTGCCATTTCCGCCACGTACATCGACGTCCCAACATCGTCTACAGCGCCAATTCATATTTCGGCGCGATTTCAGTACCAGCTTCGAGACCATCCATCGACTGGGAATTTCCGCAGCATCATCGCCAATCGCCGCATTTCGGGCGATAGCCACAATACCGCGGCAAACCAGCCGGTATCTGCTTTGCCGACCAATTCATCAGGCAGCTATTTCGGTACCGTGAGTAAACCCAACAATTTATCTAACCATGCGCATGCGTTAACGACACCACACACATACCACGAAGAACTCGATGAGAAAAGCTAGCTAGCGATCACTAGATCAAAATCCGCACACAGTAGGGAACAAGAGAGGAAGAAACACGAAAAATGAAAACCTAGGTTATACAATTAAATAAAGTTACTTAAATGTTTTATAGTAGTTTACCCCAATAAATGTTTTTCCGTTAAATGTTAAAGTTTTCCATGTAACTTATTTTTGGTTTCGAGTATTCTCACATTTCGCGTCGTTCTACTTTTTTGTGTTAATGTTCTTGTACGCCAGGTTAGACTGCCTGGGAAATCAGTCTCTCCACTCACGTGTCTCGATCGGCGGGGATCTTTGAATAAGTGAGTTCCTCCGGTGATGATACTGGTGAGTGTTGTTTTCGTGAGTAGGTAGAACGACCGGTAGCATCAACTATTCTCTCGTTGCGATTGTGGCGACCTCTTTGTGTGGAGAATCTCGATCCATCGTGCTGTTTGAGTCTTCTGTTTCGTTTTGAAATTAAATTTTTGGTTCTGATTGAACAAACCCGCCCTGAGGTCGGGTTTCTAGCCGGGCAAACAAGACTCGACGGACGGTCCTCCTTGGAGGTGGCGCTTAAGCCGTCCGTTTATCGAGCCAGGGAACGATCCAGAAGACGGAAAACCGTTAGCCGCATTTTGCGCGCTACAAGTTGTCAAAATGCCGTCCAAGCAAGAAGAGCAGCGTATCAAAATTTTGCTCGCGCATCTCGAAAATCCGAGCTACTCGCACGCAAAGTTGGCAAAATCGCTAAAAGTTGCCAAATCAACCGTTACAAATGTAATTAAAGTGTTTGGGGAACGTTTGTCGACAGCCAGGAAGTCTGGATCGGGGGGAAATCGAAAACCGGAAGCCGCTGAGACGACAAAGAGAGTTGCCGGTAGTTTCAAGCGAAACCCTAACCTCTCTCTCCGAGATGCCGCAAATAAGCTGGGTGTATCGTCTACAACCGTGCATCGAGCCAAAAAACGAGCCGGACTATCGACTTACAAGAAGGTAGTGACTCCAAATCGCGATGATAAACAAAATACGACGGCCAAAGCGCGATCCCGGAGGCTGTACACGACGATGCTGCCGAAGTTTGACTGCGTGGTAATGGACGACGAAACCTACGTCAAAGCCGACTACAAGCAGCTTCCGGGACAGGAGTTTTATACGGCAAAAGGAAGGGGAAAGGTAGCAGATGTTTTCAAGCACATGAAACTGTCAAAGTTCGCAAAGAAATATCTGGTTTGGCAAGCCATCTGTACCTGTGGCTTGAAAAGCAGCATTTTCATAGCTTCCGGGACTGTCAACCAAGAAATTTACGTGAAAGAGTGTTTGAATAAACGTCTGCTACCTTTCCTGAAGAAACACGGTTGTTCCGTACTGTTTTGGCCGGATTTGGCATCTTGCCATTACGGTAAAAAGGCCATGGAGTGGTACGCTGCCAACAACGTGCAGGTGGTTCCCAAGGACAAGAACCCTCCCAACACGCCAGAGCTCCGCCCAATTGAGAAATACTGGGCTATTGTCAAGCGGAACCTAAAGAAGACCAAAAAAAACTGCTAAGGGCGAGCAGCAGTTCAAGGCAAACTGGCTTTCTGCGGCGAAGAAGGTGGACAAGGTGGCTGTACAAAATCTGATGGCAGGGGTCAAGCGTAAGGCCCGGCAATTCGGATTTGGAAAAGCGGAAGCCTAACTGAATATTTTTCCTGAATTTTATACTAATTGAACTTGAAAAAGAAATTTAATTTGATTTTTTAAGTAAACGATTTCACCGATTTACACGCGTTTTCCCTTGACCAAATTTTGACCGTATCACCCTTTAGTACATAAACTGACGATCGAACGATGAAGGTATAATTTATAACCGTAATAACAACATAAACAAGTGCAAATAATTAACGACCAAACGCAGCGGTATACGTAGCTAACAGTGTTGCCGGTTGATGTACTTCTTGCACAGTGCTAGTACACTAGCGCTAGCAAATCCGCATAGATGTAAACACCACATTAACCCAGTGCCACGCCGTCCGAAGCATTAATAATTAGGGGCACGACATCAGCGCTGTTTTATATCTTTTCAGGTTCAAGCAGAACGATGTGCAACCAAATGGTACTCGATTCTGATGACTGGGTTTGGGGAAAACGTTTATTTCATGAAAACAGTGATAAAATTATAATTTGGTTCATTTTTCAAAAGTTTTCTTGTGGAACATTGGAAAATTATCTATTTCAGCAGATACGTAAAGTAATATCCTATCGATTAGCATATTTGAATTTTAATTTCATCTATAAATGACAAAGTTACAAGCGTTCAAAACCTAACACTATTTCACCATACATATTTTTTAATTTGCACCCCAGTATAGTCGACAAAGACGTAGTTTTACGTAAAAAAAAGTCCGCTACTAAATTTTCTACTAAATAATACCAAACAATGACCGAATCAACGCCACCAAAACTCTACATCATCCGAACAATCGTACCAAAACCACAGCTGATAACGTTTTTAAATACCGAAAATCACTACGTGAAAAAAGAACCGCAGAAAAATCGTCTTCTCGCTCGACTATGTTCATACCCAGAAATGAGACGGAATTTCGTAAGTGGGAATGTTTTCTACAACACAAAAATATTCCCAAATTTCTACTGGCAAGTAGCAAGTGACGCCTTCCTCTATTCACCTAGCTGAAATCACGCAATCTATTTCGCAGCACAACTTCAAAACGAATATTGTATTTCACGAGTTCGTCCTAGTTTTCTCCATTATTTACAACAACGAGCACACAATACTTGTCGGCACACACATTTTTTATGCGTTAATCTCATAATGGAAACTTAGCCTGACTTTAGAATACCTATTAAAATGCTTTTTCTTCTATTTACGAACGAAAAAAACACGGCAGAATAAAACATCACGTTAAATTTTCACAGCGGCCTACTTTGATCCACCTGGTGAAGTTGTTTGGTAATGGTTTCCATTTAATTCCCCTACCTTATTTGTTTATCCTTGACAGATACGCGTATTTCGTCCAAGACACTGAAGAAGTCTGCACATTGTAGACGAAATACGCGTATCTGTCAAGGATAAGCAAATATGGTAGTGGAGTTAAATGGAAATTACTAATCCCTCTCTCTCTCTCTCTTTATACAGGTATTCCACTAAGACGCCCGCAGTCATCAGGATTCATTGTTTGGAACAAAGGAATTTAAAGCCTGATTTTGACCGAATAGTTCAGCTGTTGAAAGTTCGGTAAACCTCTTCGAAGTCCGTAATAATGTCTAAGTGTGTATGCCAAATATAAGGCGTGCAACGCGTAGCCAGTCTATTCTCCACCCCCTCTTGCGTAACGTAATATTTCAACGGGCCGTTAGGTCGACACACTCTGCACGTTTGATTTAAAGCGTGTAAGCATTCGAAACTCTGTACTGCAATGAATATTATTCTCTAGTTGAAAGTAGCCCCGTCATGATCTTCAGAAATGAAACAGCTCCCATAAATCCTTCCGTTTGTGTTGTTTGCCCTAAGTAAATCTTCATATCGCTGAGTAGTTTGACTACTGTAAACTCAAAGACACTAGTGCTATAAATTCCTGTAATCCAATGTTTAGCTCCATGCGATAGCCCTTTTCTTCCAGGTGGCATAAGATTCATTATCAAGATGTAATATGTAGCCGGACAAACAAACATACAGCGGAAGTTCACCTAGCTCAAATTGAACGTAAACAACAACAACAACAAGATTCAAAACACAGTATTGTTATTTGCAAATTAAGGTGGACTCCTGAAAAGTGCGTTTTGGACGTTTGTATCGACTTGGTGTCTTCTGCGTACTTAGGAATGAGTGCGCCGTAGAAACCAAAGGACTTCCACGCTTATAATCGCATCATTGCTTGTATGTTGCTTCTGCAAAAGCATTGAACTTAAATTCTATTATTCTATAAATAATCTATTTGCACACACGACGGATATTTACTTGCCGCAACATCTGTGTTTTCATTACTAGGTCGTTGATCCGCCATCGCACCGCCGATTTATAGAAGAAGCGTGCCGCCGAAATTGTCTTTATTTGTCTACCTTCTTCCACGACAATCACTTTCTTCCCGAAAATTTTTCGATTCACTTCAGATCACTCAATGATGTAGCAGTTCGCACTTGTCGTCCCATCAGAGTCTCCCGTAGAACTGCAATAAATGTTGCTCGTCAGACCGAGCAGCGCCGTCCGTCGTACCCAACCGACTGCTCTGAGCTTCTAGACACATAATTGTTTTCAAGAAGAGATGTCTTGAGTAAACATTTCGCTCAGTTTTAAGCTAAAAACAACGACGCCGACTCTTTGTGATGACTCCACCGTGATGGATTGGGGCTCTGTTGATTCACGCCCTCCCATCGTCTTCAACTGCAGAGTAGCATGTGCAGGGATCCTTATCAGCTGCAACAGAAGCGCCCGGAGATTGCACTACCTGATGTTCTAAGGCGACGTGTTTTCACTCAGAAAAACCCACACCTGAGATCTGTTGGTGCCGGGCACTCGTGTTCTGAAAGCAAAAGTACTTCTACATAACACTATCATCGTCTAAAACGAAAATAATCGGTTTGAGAGAGGGAGAGAGAGTAAAGTGCAGTCGCAGCGTGGCTAAAATTAAGTTGCCAAGCGTCGTTCGTCGCGGCTTATCAAGCCTTGCATAATGCTTGAAGAAGGGGGGGGTCAGATGGAAAGGGTTGGCATTTTGTATTAAGCTCAGAAGTGCATTTTCAACGGCAGCAGCACAATCGTACCTTAGATAGACTGAAATGCAGCCCAGCCTTTCGACTGGAATAATTATTATCTATCTACCTATTTTCAATTTCAGCTAGCCTTGGGAAAATGGTTTTTAATCGTACTCCTCTACCACTGGCGTAATCTGGCTCATAATGGGTGCGAACTCCATCGACTGTGGCTTCTATACCCCTTCCACAGTATATCAGTAACAATTGCAACGTTCAAATTAGTTGTAAATTACCAAATTACCACATTCAACGCACCTCCTCACCGGGTCGGATCGGGTCGGCTGCCTAGATGTTGATGGTTGAGCCACGAAGATTGCAGTTTCGCCTCCGCCCCACATAAAACTACTGTACAGTAGACGACGGCCGCAGAAGCCAGTACTAGTTTCCAGCCATTATCTCATAAATTATTGCACATTATCGGTTTTATAATTTTATCATTATAACCTGCTGCAGCTTTCCATTTTCGCTTCACCGACTGACCGGCAGATAGACCAAATAGAAATCGAACGTGAAGAGGTTGCGGGAGATCTCTTTCGCTCGTTGACTACGGCGTTGGATGACTGACAGGTTGGCGGAGGATCCATGTCAACACCTTGCTGTGCGGTTGGCTTCTGGCTGCTATCGGGGGGAATGAGACGGACGGGACGATCCGGGAGAGATCACTCAATTTGGCTTGGGAAAAGTTGCTTTCAGGGTGAAAATCTGGGTTGGTGCGTTTGGTGGGGGACTGTTCAGTGCTAATTGCTAGCAATATGAGTCTCGATGGGTGTGGGATGGGAAATGTGACGATGATTTATTGGGATATTAAAACCGAAATAGAAGAGAGCTAGATAAAAATATTGTTCGAATGACCGAGTCCGTTTAGCACAAATTATGATTTATTTATACTTTTAGCTGCAAAATTGTAAACATAGTAACATTAGGTAACAAATTTAGAAATCCTTCAATCAAAATTTAACTCATAATCTTGGTAATCGCTCTTAGCACGAAATTAATTATAACTCACTGTCTTTTCTCTTGTTTACGTTTTACAATTCTCCACAGTCACCTGCGATGTAATCAACGTTCGGAATGCAGTTCTACTCGATACAATGTCTAATTTAAATTATAGCATTTCAAGTAATATACGAAAAGCACTTACAATTCTAATTATGTACTATAATTATAACAATATTTGCCAATTATCGAAACATACTTTTATAGGTTGAAGATACTTTCACTTTCGTTTTCACACGTATAAATGAACAAAAGATCATGACTCAGGTTCGATCAACTGACAGATGATCAGATTTGACGACTAACAGACAGATTGCTCCGATCATGCGCCTCGCCATCAGGTAGCTCAGTAACGACTGAACCGGGGGGCTTCGTCTGCTCGCCGTAACAATCCCCAGCCCGTGAAGCCTGGTGATGATCTGCATTTCCTGAAGACTTCTCAACGGCTTCATCATCCGATCCAACGTCGAGCAATGCCAGTCTAAATACCGGCCGTTAGTACACTCCTACTGCTGTGTGCACCAGCGTCTGACGAACTCGACCATCGCGTCCCATGAACACCTTCTCAACTCTCGCTCTTACATACTGGTTTCGCACCGCGCCACCTACCATCAGCACCAAGTCGCCTTCCCGAATTTCTCGTACCTCATCGAACCATTTTATTCGCCGGGGGAGGTTGCTCATCGATTCTTCCGGTCCGCCTCCTAGCATTGTGCAAGGTACCAGGTGGTAACCAGGGTAGTTGATCGATAGCTCGATGACGTCATTTCGTTATTGTTTGCAATGGGAAATTCTCATAGCATGCGTTGACGATGAGATGTTGTCGAGTTGTTGATTAGCAACCATCGTGGTAACTCATCGATTACCTGTCGATCTGCCAAATTTGGAAAGACGTCTGCATTGAATTGTCTCATATAATAATATTCCGCCCACTGTATCACAAGAAATTGCGAGTAGCTGAGTGGAATGGAGATAAGTTAAGCATTGGGTACAGGACCAAGTCTCCCCTGGGTGGTGCCAAAAGATGAGCACAATAGAATCATCAAGTTGCCATAAGGCACGGAATGAGACTATTGCATGGCTGGGTAGTCAAAGTCTTCCATTCGTTAGTCATTTCAGGTGGATTAGAACAGGTTTACGGTTAGTGGTTTCTTATTGTGGTCTGGTTCAGATGGTTGTTGTTGTTGTTGTTGTTGTTGTTGTTGTTGTTGTTGTTGTTGTTGTTGTTGTTGTTGTTGTTGTTGTTGTTGTTGTTGTTGTTGTTGTTGTTGTTGTTGTTGTTGTTGTTGTTGTTGTTGTTGTTGTTGTTGTTGTTGTTGTTGTTGTTGTTGTTGTTGTTGTTGTTGTTGTTGTTGTTGTTGTTGTTGTTGTTGTTGTTGTTGTTGTTGTTGTTGTTGTTGTTGTTGTTGTTGTTGTTGTTGTTGTTGTTGTTGTTGTTGTTGTTGTTGTTGTTGTTGTTGTTGTTGTTGTTGTTGTTGTTGTTGTTGTTGTTGTTGTTGTTGTTGTTGTTGTTGTTGTTGTTGTTGTTGTTGTTGTTGTTGTTGTTGTTGTTGTTGTTGTTGTTGTTGTTGTTGTTGTTGTTGTTGTTGTTGTTGTTGTTGTTGTTGTTGTTGTTGTTGTTGTTGTTGTTGTTGTTGTTGTTGTTGTTGTTGTTGTTGTTGTTGTTGTTGTTGTTGTTGTTGTTGTTGTTGTTGTTGTTGTTGTTGTTGTTGTTGTTGTTGTTGTTGTTGTTGTTGTTGTTGTTGTTGTTGTTGTTGTTGTTGTTGTTGTTGTTGTTGTTGTTGTTGTTGTTGTTGTTGTTGTTGTTGTTGTTGTTGTTGTTGTTGTTGTTGTTGTTGTTGTTGTTGTTGTTGTTGTTGTTGTTGTTGTTGTTGTTGTTGTTGTTGTTGTTGTTGTTGTTGTTGTTGTTGTTGTTGTTGTTGTTGTTGTTGTTGTTGTTGTTGTTGTTGTTGTTGTTGTTGTTGTTGTTGTTGTTGTTGTTGTTGTTGTTGTTGTTGTTGTTGTTGTTGTTGTTGTTGTTGTTGTTGTTGTTGTTGTTGTTGTTGTTGTTGTTGTTGTTGTTGTTGTTGTTGTTGTTGTTGTTGTTGTTGTTGTTGTTGTTGTTGTTGTTGTTGTTGTTGTTGTTGTTGTTGTTGTTGTTGTTGTTGTTGTTGTTGTTGTTGTTGTTGTTGTTGTTGTTGTTGTTGTTGTTGTTGTTGTTGTTGTTGTTGTTGTTGTTGTTGTTGTTGTTGTTGTTGTTGTTGTTGTTGTTGTTGTTGTTGTTGTTGTTGTTGTTGTTGTTGTTGTTGTTGTTGTTGTTGTTGTTGTTGTTGTTGTTGTTGTTGTTGTTGTTGTTGTTGTTGTTGTTGTTGTTGTTGTTGTTGTTGTTGTTGTTGTTGTTGTTGTTGTTGTTGTTGTTGTTGTTGTTGTTGTTGTTGTTGTTGTTGTTGTTGTTGTTGTTGTTGTTGTTGTTGTTGTTGTTGTTGTTGTTGTTGTTGTTGTTGTTGTTGTTGTTGTTGTTGTTGTTGTTGTTGTTGTTGTTGTTGTTGTTGTTGTTGTTGTTGTTGTTGTTGTTGTTGTTGTTGTTGTTGTTGTTGTTGTTGTTGTTGTTGTTGTTGTTGTTGTTGTTGTTGTTGTTGTTGTTGTTGTTGTTGTTGTTGTTGTTGTTGTTGTTGTTGTTGTTGTTGTTGTTGTTGTTGTTGTTGTTGTTGTTGTTGTTGTTGTTGTTGTTGTTGTTGTTGTTGTTGTTGTTGTTGTTGTTGTTGTTGTTGTTGTTGTTGTTGTTGTTGTTGTTGTTGTTGTTGTTGTTGTTGTTGTTGTTGTTGTTGTTGTTGTTGTTGTTGTTGTTGTTGTTGTTGTTGTTGTTGTTGTTGTTGTTGTTGTTGTTGTTGTTGTTGTTGTGGAACGGTTTTAGACATGCGACACGTGATTTTGCAGTGCAAAAACTATGAAAGACAACGACAAGAGAACAACATTGACACAACAAGCTTACGAGATGCGCTAGGAAACTCCGAGGAGCAAACCACAAATATGCTGAATTTTCTTCGGCAAACTGGACTGTACCGAAAAATTTGAAGGATGTAGAGAAAAGAAGAAGGAACAGCCGAAACCCGGTGTAATGGCAATGAAGATTAAGCAGGTAACGGAGCAAGAAAGGAAGGAAGAATGTGATTAGTTCGGTAGTCTACCGGTTCCGATGGTGGTTGCTTTACGCCCGATGAACTCCCTAACAGGAAGTGGTTTGGGGTTAACAATTCCTCATCGGCGGTTTCCAGCGGCACGTAAGTCAAAGGTCTCGAGTTAATCATCGACTTGGTGTCAGAAGAATCGTCTCTAAAGTTCTCCTAACCGAAAATACCCATGTTGTAGGGTATTTGACAGTTTTTCTTGAACCGATGGCAACCATCTTGGATTCCAAAATGGCATCTGACATTGATTTCCGGCCTCTACACGTCGTTCCCTATCTGGAAATACCCATATTGT